CTCCAGCCCACTCATTAATTTTGCGGTGTTGATGACCAAGTCAGGGCCTCATGAATGTGAGGCAAGCACTCTCCCACTGAGCTCCATCTTTGCTTCCCAGAACTAAACATTTTAAAAAGAAAACAATGAATTTGTGGTGTCTTGGACCATGTCACAAATGAGCTTAAGCTACTTGGGGTCAGGTATTGAGTTGCCGTTGCTCTTGTATCAGATGTGTTGTCCCTAGTATTGGAACTTTTTGCTGGAGTCAAAATTCTCAGCAATTTGGAGAGCACAGGAGTGGTGTGAGAAACAAATGTGATCAATGGCTTCACACATACAGAGTTCCGTATGTTTTCCTTTATGCTAGTGTATTCAAAGTTATGAACTACTTTATGCATCCCAAAGGCAAACAACTTTTGGGCTATTTTGTTGATTTCTTACAAAGTCAAGGTTATTCAGAGAACAAGTAGGTAACCACAGAGCATATTAAACTGGTTTTTCAAGCTTAACCTAGTGTCTCATAGTTCACTGAAACAGGAGAAATACCTGTGTCCTTTTTGAACTCTTGCCCTGAAATAACATTTCTTATCTTACTGAGGACTGGAAAATTACGATGAAATGGACTCTGTATACAATACCCTTTGAGGAAGGGTCTACATTCTAGTCAGAGGTGGTGTAAGTATTATTTATGACCTTCTTTCTTATGTTAAGAAAAACATGCTGGGTGTTATTGGTGGCGCACGCCTTTAATCCCAGCACTAGGGAGGCAGAGGCAGGCGGATCTCTGTGAGTCCAAGGACAGCCTGGTCTACAGAACAAGTTCCAGGGAAGGTTCCAAAGCAGAGAAACCCTGTCTTGAAAAACACAAAAAGGAAAAAAAAAGATTCAAGTAGAAAGTCAGGGCAATCGTCAATAACCTTTTTATCTTGTGTAGCTCAGACTGGCCTTGAACTCACTATGTAGTTGAGGATGACCTTGAACTTCTGATCCTCCTTCTTGCACTTGTTGTGTGTTGGTATTACAGGCGTGGACACTACACCCAGTTTATGCAGTGCTGGGTATCAAACCCAGGGCCTCATTCATGCATGCTAGGCCAGCAGTCTATCAACTGAGCTACATGGAAGTCCCGTTGTCCTGCATGCAGTCTCATCCCATTTTTCTTATAGTCTGGCCATGTCTATGTACATATCACACCGTCCGTGGATGCTCTCCTGCTGCACTAGCCCAGTTAAGCAGTCATTGGCTCATAAAGGTGAAAGTGTTTACCACTGGGTCCTTTACAAAGTTTGCTTTGCACGGTGTCTTAATAAACAAAAAATACAGTTCTGGAGAAAGCATGGGTTTAAGAGTCAGACCCACCATCCACTAGCTATGTAAGCTGGCATAATCGATTGCCCAACCTCTCTTGTGCCTCTATCTTGCATTTATAAGAAGACCATAATGATGCTAATCTTTCTGGCAAGGCTACACAGAGGCAGGTTGAATTTGAAACCAAAAACGTGTGTCTTTACATATATGTAATTACCTGAATGCAAAATGTCTTCCACAGGTTCGTGTGTTTGAACACTTGTCCCTAAACAGGGGCACCGCTTCGAGAGGTTGTAGAATTCTTAGTAAGTGGGTCCTAGCTGCAGGACGTGTCCCTGAGGACCGGGCCTCAAGGATTAGAGGCTGGGCTCGCTTCCAGCTCTCTGCTTCCTGAGCTGCTGAGGTGTAACAGCTGCACCATGAGCTCCACCACCGTCATCCCAAGCTGCCCTGTCTTCCCACCATGAAGGACAGCTTCCCCTCGCACCATGAGTCAAAGAAACTCTTCCTCCCCTAAATTGCGTCTGCCACAGCAACAGGGAAATTAATTCAATATGCTCGTTAATTCAACATGCTCATTAAAGAGCTGAGGTACGGCTCAGAGGTAGAGCCCAGCACTTGTGAGGCCCTGGGTTCAATCCTCAGCACCACACACCACACACACACACACACACACACACACACACACACACACACACTTGGGTATTTTGAACCAACTGAAAACAGTTCATCAACACTCTACCATAAATTAAAAACAAGGGAAGGGAGTCTATAAATGAAGCTCTGTGTGATTAGGTCTGTTTACACAGCGTCAGCAACACTCATAAACTGCCATACAAGGAAGTGAACCCAGCCTGGGCCGCCAAGGAACAGGTTGATGATTAGAAATGGCTTTTTTTCACCAGCAGTATAGGTGATAAAGCAAAAAAAAAAGTAGCCTATCTTTAAGTACATTTTTAACCTTTTGTTCACTATGCATTTATTTGCAATACTTTTGATACTTTAAATATTGTGATATTGTATCACTTATTGGGAGGGCTAGATGGCTCAGTGGGTAAAGGCGCCTGCTGCTAAGCCTAGTGGCCTGAGTTCGGAACCCACACAGTGGGAAGGAGAGAACTTGATGCCAGCAAGTTGCTCTCTGATTAGCACAGTGTGGTTTGTGTGTATATGCGCACACACGCATACACACAAACACATTAGTTACTTAAATGTAATTATTTAAGTTAAAAAACATGGGACTGGAGCTGGAGAGATGGCTCAGAGGTTAAGAGCACTGACTGCTCTTCTAAAGGTCCTGAGTTCAATTCCCAGCAACCTCATGGTGTCTCACTACCATCTATATGAGATCTGGTGCCCTCTTCTGGCCTGCAGACATACATGCAGACAGAATACTATACACATAATAAATAAATCTTTAAAACAAAAACAAAAACATGGGGCTGGAGAGATGGCTCAGCGGTTAAGATCACTGACTGCTCCTCCAGAGGACTCAGGTTTCATTGCTAGCTCCCACATGGTGGCTCACAACTATCTGTAACTCCAGACTTAGGAGATAGGACGCCCTCTCCTGGCCTCTGTGGACACTGCATACACATGGTACACAGAACACATTAAGGAAAATACTCGTACATGTAAAATCTCAAAAAAAATCGCTTGATTTCTGAGTTTTGGTGCCCCATGACTTAGATGTTGTTTCTGAGGGTATTCTTTGCCTCTCTCACTCTATCCAAACCCCCAGACTGTCAGAGTTGTTCTAAGAATGACAAACTAAGCCTAGGAGGTTTCTAGAGCACATAGTAGATGCTAAATTGTTAGCAACTGTTGATGTTGATGACAGACTGGGAAAATACTATTTACCACCTAGGGTTGTACACAGACTTGAAATGATGCTGTCAAGGTGGTCTGGAAATAAAGTCTAATGTAATTCTTATAAATTTTCTAGGTCAGTTCTAAGCTTCGTTTATTAGCATGCTTTTATGGTTCTAACAGTTTCAATTGGTTTACAAAATTGAGCTTTCCGGAGGTTTGGGGTTCTAACTCGGTTCCCAGACTTGTGCAGCAGGTGCTTTTACCCTCTCAGCCATCTCACCATCCCCTCCGTGTGAATCTTAAGACATCATTGGGCATTTGCAAAAAGCATCAGAGTTAGTTTAATGAGTACTTTTCCTTTCCCTCTTTCTGGCACCTGTATCAGTGTGTGGTGTGTGCGTTTATGTGTGTGCATGTTCAAGTGTGTGTGGGTGCACTAGAGCATGTGGAGGCCAGAGGTTAACAGGTGTCCTCCTTAGCTGCTCTGCACCTTGTAAACTGAGTCAGGGTCTCTCGTTGGAACCTAGAGTTCCCTGACTGAGCTAGGCCAGCTGGCCAAATTGCTTAGGAATCCTGTTTCTGCCCCCAGAGCTCTGAGGTTGTAGGAGGGCCTCCACTCCCCTTAGGCAGTTATGTGGGTTCATGCTTTCCTGGCAAGCACTTTATTCGGAAGCCATCTTCCCAGTCCCAAAGATCACTTTCATTAAAAATTCGTTTAATGCTGGAGCCAGCAAAGTGGCTTGGCTAGTAAGGCAACTGATCCCAAGCCTGACAAGCCGAGTTCTATCCAGGACCCACCCAGTGCAGAGAACCAGCTGCTCCAAGCAGTACTCCGGCTTCCATGTCTACACCTATGAAATTAATAAACAAATGTGATAGAAAATAATTTCACATTTGGAACCTTATCCAATCCCGGAATAGAGACATTTCTGCCCCCAACTAGTCTGCTTTTGAGGATTCTTGTTGGTTTGTTTTTTCATTTTTAAAGTTATTCTTGGGGTTGGAAACATAACTCAGTAGATGAGTGTTTGCCCGGTGTGTGTAAGGTCCTAAATTTAAAACCTAGTGCTACCCCACCAAAGGCTATTCCTTAGAATAAACCACCTGTAACACTTTTACAAGCCATGGAACATAAGTGGTTTACTGGTGTGACATCTGCCCCAGACAGTGGTGGCACGGGTCTTTAATCCTAGTGCAGAGGCCAGTGAATCTGAGTTTGAGGCCAGCCTGATCTACGTGAGTTCCAGGACAGCCAAAGCTATACAGAGAAACCCTGCCTTGAAAGACAAACAAGCAAACAAAAGCTATGCCAGAATTCACAGTCAGGAGCTTTGTGTGAAAAGGAAGTAGGTTCCTACAAGGACTAGGAGTGAATTTCAGCTTTTTGTTAGCTCATCCTGGAGACTAAGATTTTCTTTTTGATTTTTTTCTTTTTGTATTGGAAATTGAACCCGGAACCTCATACATACTAAGCACGTTTATCTTACAACTGAACTACATCTTCGGCCTGGCAATGAATAATTTTTACGTTATAAATCTACCATGCAACATTGTAAAGAATTTATGTATATGATATTATGTTTTTTATAATAATGATTTAAATACACCTAAATACACAGAAGTATAACAATTTATCCTTGCTAAAAATGTGGAAAGGAAAAAAAAGAACAAGTTTTCACATTTCAAAAAATAAAATACAATTTAGTTATGACACAAATTAATACTACTGTAGCCTTTTCAAATTAATTCAAAGGAAGAACAACTGGATCTGTGATTAAGGGAGGAAAAATCAATATAAGAAAGCTCATTTTACCCAGAGCTCCTGGCCTCAGAAATGCTCACATAGAACTTTGGGAGTCCATTAATATTTTTTTAAGCGCATTGGCTAAATGACCTACCTGATTTCACCAAGCACAGCAAACTGATAAGAAAGTACAGTCTCAGCATAGGGATCAAGCGAGCATGTGTCCCAAACACAAGGATGTGGCCCACTTAGCAGAGCCCGGCGCAGACGGGAGTTGGTTCTCCCGGAGAGTGGGAGAGCTCACTCGGCTAATCCCTAGTTAGTGACAGCAGGAAGTCCCCGAGGGAGTCAAGCCCGGCTAGCCCTGTCAGGATCTTTGGCTCCGCCTCTTCGCAATAAAAGGTCTGGGATTTTCGGGTTGCATAATTGGTGCATATGCTAATGTTTCATTTGCATTTTCGTTTTTCGTGGGCGGTTTACTAGCTGTTTGGCTTGGTGTGTTGAAATCAACCTAATTTGAGAGCCTTCTCCCTTATGAATGAAATGACAAATCCTGTCAGTATTCCCCCTGACTTGGTATACAAACCACTTGCTATGTTAATTCACATGCACAGAACAGTCTTTAAACTTTTATTAATAACATTTCATTAAGTTCAGTTATATGGCTATGTTTACACATGTATCTATGCTTCATATTAAAGACCTTTTTACTTAACCTTATTTTCCCTTCTTCCTACCCAGAGTCCTTGTCTCATAGCTGAGTTCATTTTTATATTTTATTTGTTGGGGGTAGGCAGGCGAGTGTGTGCCAGGGTCCCAGTCCTCCCCAGTAGAGGTCAGTGGGCAATCCTCTTTCCATCATGGAGATCTTGGAGATGGAGCTCACATCTCAGACCTGGGAGAAAGCAGGAGGCATCTACATCTTCCTAACCTTTCTAACGTCTACACTAGCGGTTACGAACCCTGCACAGGGGGTGACTGTGGGGGGGGGGCTCAGCAGTATCTACCCTGTAGCAAGCCCTGGAGTAGATGAGGGTAGAGCACCAATGACAGTCTACACTGCAAAGGGATTACTCCTCTTTCTAGTGAAAATCCTTCAGACATCAAGCTTCTGGTTACTTTATAAGCCATCAGTCCACCTGTCTGCGTGAAGTGCCTCTTCACTTAGGTATGGTGGCACATGCCTGTAATCCCCATTCTCAGGGGCCGGGGCTGGAGGACTGCAGGTTTGGAACCAGGCTGGGCTCCATACCAGGATCCTGTCTCAAACAACAGGGTGGGGATTTGGTTGGAGGTACACGGTCTGACACGACACACCTATGTCTCTCATCTATGTCCATGGATCCCCTCATTTAACCATTAACAGCAACTTGCAGCTGCTCTCCAAGGAGCAAGTCCATCACAGCCACCCGGGAGGCTTCTGAACAGTACAGCGAGTGGTTCATGCATGGTAAGGCCAGACTCACAAGGCTAGGCGAGAGGATATTGAGTTCATGGGCCAGCCAGGGGTCCACAGCAAAGACCCTCTTTAAAAGGAAACCAGAAAGCATGTGTCCCGTTTCTGTGTCACACCTGAGACCTAATGAATGGGAAGACTGCTGGTCCACTAATCTGAGTTTAGGTCCCATATCCTCTGCTCACTGAGTGTGTGTGTGGCCTCAATAAATGAAACATCTAAGTTCTACGTGTCTCAACTTTCTCAGTCATGAAATGAAGATAAGATCGCGCAACTCGGGGTAATTAACACAGATTACATGAGGTATTGCAGCTGAAGGCTTTGGCACTGTGCCTGCTGCCAAGGTTAATTGCTCCCTCCTCTCGGTAATTCCATTTACTGTCTTTCTGGCCATACAGCCGGCATGTCCCCTCCCTCTGAAGGAATGCTGTGGAGCTGAGAAGGGGCCTTCAAGAGGGACTTCAAGTCCTTTTGTGAACACTGCAAGAACACCTGTGTCCTGTTGGAATTAAGGAACTGCCAATAGGAGACTCAAACCAACACCTGCTGATTCTTCTACTTTGCACTCTAAGCCTTGCTCATTTGAAAACACTGGCTCTCTGAACAGAGAATCGTTCTGTCTCTTTAAGGGACCTGCCCTGGAATGTGCCCCTCCCTGCCAGGTCAGTGTAGTTCCATGATAAATATTTGTTGAGTTCCTATCAGTTTTGAGTGCTTATCTGAACCTAGCCAATGTCCTTTCTTAGGGGGACCCTAGCCAATCGCATAGGAACAAGGGCCATCCTCTGTTTGTTATTAATAGTAGGGACACAGAGGGTCCCCTAACTCCATGTTGGGTGCTCTGTTTTCCTCCTAGCATTCAAAACAGCAGAGAATCAGTGGAGGAAGCTGTCCTTCGTTTTTTAGATGAGTAAAAATGTTGACACTGTAATAAACATGGACCATGTAATAGGAAGACAGAATACCCCAAAGGTGGGGGAGGGCAGAATAGAGTAGGTGTGGGTATAACCAAACAACACAAGGAGTTTTATCAGTTTTGTGGTTGGGGATGGGATCCAGGGCCTTGACTCACTGAGCAAGAGCTCTACAGCTGAGCTGTCTTCCCAGCCCCGAAAGGGCTCCTTTAATGGTGGAATACTTTTGTATTTAACTGAGGTGGCCGCTATAGAAAGTCACGCAATGAGACCATAGAGAAACATGCACACATGAGCATGTTGTGCTGACAGAGTCTAAACCAGGTCCCTGGGTGGTGCCAATGTCCACGTTCTGGTTTTGATAGCTCGTTACTACTTATATAAGAAGCTGTGCTGATGGGAAAATGGGTGGATACTCAGGACCTTCTTCCATTGGTTTTGCAACTTCCTACCAACCAATAATTATTTCCAAGTGGAATGTGTTTTTAAAACTTAAAAAATGGGGGGCTGGAGAGATGGCTCAGCCAGTAAGAGCACTGGCTGCTCTTCCAGAAGACCCGGGTTCAAATCCCAGCACCCACATGGTGGCTCACAACTGTCTATAATGAGATCTGATGCCCTTGTCTGGCCTGCAGGCATGCATGCAGACAGAACACTGTATACATCATAAATAAATAAATCTTTTTAAAAAACACTTAAAAACAGGCCAATTCTTACCGTCATTGAACAAACATTAATTTAAAGCTATTCTGAGGAAGCCCTGTCTTTATCTCCGTTAGCTAACCAAGATTCTCTCACTCTGGTGCTGTAATAAGGGACCACAACTCACAGATGTCACTATCTTCTTCTCTGTCCAACCTATCATCATCATCATCATTTAGTTTAGACTTCTGAGACAGAGTCTCATGTAGCCCATACTGGCTTCAAACTTGCTATGAGGCCAAAGCTGTCATTGAACTCCTGACCTACCTGCCTCAGCCTCCCAAGTGCTGGGACTATATGCGTGAAACACCGTGCCTGCCTCTGCAACCTACACTATGTATTATGTATTTGTCCTTTCTTTTTCCCTGTGTGTTTTCTCACTCACCACAGACGGCAGAGCAGAAAGTGGCAGGCCAGCTACTACTATGTGGACCGGAAGGGCAGGTATGGAGGCGTGCTGGAACCGGGGAGAGGTACTTTTATTATTCTCTTTTTTGACAACCAGGAAAGGTGACCTGTGTCCCCACCCATCCTGGTCTAAGGCCATGCTGCTGTATGACTCACTGTAACAACCTTTTGTCAACCTACTTGTCTCTCACTTGGAATACAAGTTCAGAAAGATGAGTCAGTTTGCTCAACTCATATCCAACAAGAGATTAGATTTATACTCCCCAAACCACAGGTTTCCCTCCCTCCCTCCTTCCCTTCCTTTCTCCCTCTCTAGCTCCTTTAAATAGCTTTCAGTTCTTGGGTTTTTTTGTTTGTTTGTTTTATCCATTTTGTTTTGCTTGCTATTACTGAGTGTAGAATATTCCTTTATACTGTATGAATATGTGTCGCTGTGCTTGGATTAATAAAGAAGCTGACTGGCCTATAACTGGCCAGGATAGGTTAGGGGGAGAACAAAACAGAGAATTCTGGGAAGAAGAAGGGCGGAGTCAGAGAAGTATTGAGCAGACAGAGAGAAGCAAGATGGAGATGCTGGACTGAGAAAAGATACTAAGTCATGTGGCAAAGTGTAGATAAAAGTATGGGTTAATTGAAAATGTAAGAGCTAGCTAGAAACAAGACTGAGCTATTTATTGGCCAAGGATTTACAATTAATATTAAGCCTCTATAATTACTTAGGAGAGGCTTGTGGGACAACACTGCCCCCTCAATAGTTTTCAATTGTATTTAATTTTGATTTTTTTGTTTATTTTTTTAACTATTGATTCTCAGCGGTTTCATATCATATGTCCTGACCTCACTCATGGGCCCTCTGCCCTCACACTTCCCCCAAAACAAAATTTAAAAGTTAAAAAAACAAACTCACACATACACACACATACCAAAAAATAAATACATAAATAAATAAAAATAAAACAACAAAAAGACAAACTATGCCCTGGATGAAATGACAGACTCTGGAGATCCTCCATGGAGGGCCTCACCCTCCCTGGGGATTGGAGGGAGATTGGATGGGGGACTGGGAGGGGGAAGGGGAGGGAGAGGGAGCTGGGATTGACATGTGAAGCAAGCTTGTTTCTAACTTAAATAAAAAAAAAGGAAGAAGAAAGAAAAAAAGACAAACTAAAAAAAACCAATCTCAACTTGGAAGTTGTAGTGTGGCATAGTGAGTCACACAATATTCCCTTTAGCCCATACGTCTTTACCTGTGTTTATTGCAATGAGTCATAGGTCTGGCTTCTGCTACACTATTGACACTGGGCCCTCACAGGGACTCCTCTTGGATACCCTGTTGTTGCCCTGTGTCATGCAGCTCCTGCAGCCTGCAGGTCTGGCCCCTCTGCCTGCTCCAGCAGTTCACAGATGAGGTGGATGTTGGTGTGAGTCAACTCATAACCCTGGTAGCTGGGTTGGTCAAGCCGCCAGCTTTCCCCCATCACCACCACCCGGGCAGGCTCTCCCCCACAGCCCCAGCTAGCTCACCGGATTTAGCAGACAACAAGGAGCAGGGCGGGCTCTCCTGCTCTCATACCCCAGACCTACCACGGCCAGCCCCACTGCTCTCATACCCCAGACCCAGCTCATCTACACTCACACCACCACGGCCAGCCCCACTGCTTTGTCCTGGCCAGGTGCAGGGCCTACTCTCCAAACTGCTGCACTTGGTGAGGGACAGGGCCAGCTCTTCCATTCTCATGCCCCAGGCCAGCTCTCATGCCTGTGGCAGTGGGGGGGGGGGTCCCTGACCCTTGCCACCCCATGGCATATGGGGGCCGGGGGCAGCTCTCCTGTCACACCCACAGGCCAGACTCACCTGTAAC